GCCATTTTTCGAGGTCAACATACATCATCTTTTACACTTTATCACGTAAAAACAAATCATTAGACATTTAAAAAAAATACTTTTTCTGTCCACAATTTTTTAAGAATAAAGAAGATGTGAAAGTTAATGTACAATTCACTTTTTTTTTTGGTAGTAGAAAAAATTAAGTAAAAACAAATTTTGACTTAAAATATTTTCTAAATTAACCTCTAAATATAAGGAAATGAAGGTATATTTAGCATTATCGTCTATCAAATTAGGATTTTTTCATTTGTACAAAAAAATCACCACAAAAGTTCAACAGAAAACTCACATGGAGATGGGCTCCACATGCAATCAAATATTGCAAAAAATGTGGGCTCCACCTATGTTGAGTGTGTTTTGACAATTTTGCGTGTGCACAATTTTCTGTATACACGGACCACGGTGAAACCGATCTAATTAACTCAAATTGAATTCATTGGAAACAACTGGACCCTGCAAATACTTTTGCCTCGTTTTATGTTAAACGACAAATTTGATTGATTAATTCACTTTCGGCGCCTTCCGCAAATCACTTTCCCACATATTCCGAGTTAGAACACTAGTGACAGCAATTCCAAGAAGCTATTGTAAAATTTGAAAAACCACAAATTAAGCTTTTGTTTGGTTTTATTTATTTTTTGCAAGAGTTAAAGCTATTGTACATCGAAATGTATGTCACTTTTGACATCATCTAAGTTGTCATGATTGATGGATGAAAATTTTATTTATTTTTTAAAACTGTTCAACACAATGTAAAAAGTGATGTACTAAATAATGCACATGTAACATGATTCTGCGTGCAAAGTTCATTTTGAAAGTAAAATGTTAATTCTGATTACATATTCAGGAAGATTCACAAGTTATATTAACTTATCCATCGCTCGTTTCTACTAATTATTTTAGCAATGAAAAATGAAACCAAAACAATGCCTAAACCTCTGTTCACAAAACCATCAGGAAAATATAAATACCATCCACAAAGTTTCTCCACTTTTGCATCCAATTTAGAAATAGTACTTTTTGGGATTTTTAATAAAATAGACCACAGTACTAGACGATCCCAAAAATAAAAATAAAAATAAAAATAAACTTAAATCTTGATCATACAAGTAATGCCATTTTACGTATAGCCCTGCTTGTATTTTCTGAATAGATCTTCAGTTTTGGCATTCCTGAAAGCACAGCATCCAATTAAATACACACATATTAAAGCAACTAGGGTTATGATCAATATAATGTTTGCCCTTCTCCATTCTGTCCTGAGATTAGCCAGCAATCCTGCTTTGCATGAATCACAGGAATAGCATAGTTGTGTTTGCTCATTGCTCCATTGCAAGCAGTCCATGTCAGCTGCTGTGTTTATTGGACTAATCCAATATGTTGGATTCACAAATGTGTAGCCACATTCTGTTGGTGGTTTACAGCATCCAGACTGTAAAAGAGTAAAGAGAATTAGAATTGCAAAAGAATAAGAACAATACTACTTGTACATAAACAGTTACATAATGATTTAC